GCAAATAGGTATTTGAAAAGTGCTTACACAATCAAACTTGCCTTCTTGCACTTCTGCCACTGCAATGATAACATGTCTTGACTAGTCTGTTGGTCCATGAAGGATGAGATACAGGTAGAGCAAAGCTGACCCAGCTGAGCCAAACATAGATCAGCCAATCATTGCAGGGTGACTGAACCCAGCTGAAAACAACAGAGCTGCCCAACCAAGTCCAGGCCTAGATCACCTGCCACCAAGCCACTCCATAGATGTGTGACCTGAATAAATGATTGCTGTTTTAAGCCACTGAGTTTTGGAGTTGTTACATAGGAAGAACTGATCCAGACATACGGTAACGAGAAACACATTTCCCTTACATCTGGTACTGCTAGTGAAGAATTTCCATTTTTCTACCCCTATTCCCTGCAGTTTGGACTACTCGTGGATCGATCCTTCTTGACCATTTCAGGAACCACTGCGGAAAGCCCTTTAGAACCACCTTTCTCCCCTCTACTGAAAACTCAATGATGCTTCTATTATTCTGTTGTTGTATGCCATTGAACCACTAGGATTCAGATAAGCAGAACTGTGACAAATAGGATCATGACTAAGAAATATCAGAGCAGACCACCAGGTGTCTTTTTTGTATGAAATACTGAGATGTTGCCTAGGAAGAATTTATCCTGAGGAAAAAAGCATTAAGAACCCAAGATTGGTATAATAACCATGCCCAGAATCATAGTTGTTGAGGTGATGTTGGAAAAAATAGAAGGTAAATAATTTTTCTTAACAAAATTATTTTTTTAATTTTAAGAATTTTTGGAAAAATAACAAAGGACAACATAAAAATCCTTATATTCTTATATTTTTTATTTAAAATTATGGAAAAAGTTAAAGTCCCTTTTGATAACTACTCCCAGTATCATTCCTTTCTCTTGTCCTCAGATATAATCAGTATTATGAGTTTGATATGAATCCCTTCAGGCTTTGCTACTTTGTAAATGTACTATTCAATACAATCTAGTATTATCCATAGTTTTTCTTCTTTTCCAGATCTCAGGAAGTCATATAGGCCAAAGAAAGAGAAGATATAGGAAAAAATTGAAACAAGTTTTAGGGGAAAAAATTTATATTTAAGATGTTGGGGCCAGGCATGGTGACTCACACCTATAATCCTAGCACTTTAGTAGGCCAAGGTGGGGGGACTGCATGAGGCTAGGAGTTCAAGACCAGCCTAAGCAAGAGTGAGACCCCTGTCTCTACAAAAAATAGAAAAATTAGCCAGGTGTGGTGACACACGCCTGTAGTCCCAGCTACTTGGGAGGCTGATGCAGGAGGACTGCTTGAGCCCAGGAGTTTGAGGTTGCAGTGAGCTATGATGATGCCACTGTACTCTATCCTGGGTGACAGAGCAAGACCCTATCTCCAAAAAAAAAAAAAAAGTTTGGAAGAACATGTGATATAAAGAAGGGAAAGGGATTCTTTCTATTTTAAGAAAGCAGCATTAGTGCAATCTTGTAAAGCCAGGATAAAATTATAAGACAAAAGAGACAATACCAGTGCCAACAGCAGTGCCATCAGTAGCACTCAGCTTCAGTGGAATGCAAAACTAAGGCTGCTGATGGTGAATACAATAGTTTTCTTGAGTAGCTGTCAACTGTTTCATCAGCAGTAGTCGAGGCAACATCAGCCATTTTAGGATAGGAGACACAGCCTTCGGCATGGCCATCAGTGCCCTCAATGGGAGCACTGGTAACTGGAGAAAGGTTGTGGAAGCCACCAAAGTCAGTGGAGGTTGAAAGGATAAGATTATGAATCATCAGGTGAGACACCCCCTGCAGACTTTCACAAATTGTGAGGAAGTTGAGAAGTTATGGGAAGAGTAGGGGCTAACAAGAGAAATACTGTTTATTACTATTAATGTTCCTCAAAGACTGCTATGGCCTAGAGAAATAAAACTAAAATTATATAATTGAGTGCTTAGTAAAGTATTAACAATAAAAAGGATAACTACTCTACTAAAGAACTCCTGCTTTGGTATGACACCTTATGTACCCTGGGTGGAGGGATGTGGATCATACTCAATGAGTAAGCCTCAGTGGCCAGAAAACCTTAAGTTTTCATTTTGATTGCTAACACCTTTAAGGAAGGTGTAAAAAATCCTCCCAGAAGAAAGAATTACACCTCAGGCTTCAAATTATTACTATGGTTTTGCAAATATATTGTTTAGAAAATAATCAGTGATAATTAGACAAAACTGTTTCTGGCTAAGATTGAGTAATAAGTTTGGAAATATTTCTTCCACTGTAAGTAACTGTGTAACTGGGCAAAACAGAGCAACTGTTTTCAAGGAATAGACCCTGACAGCACAAGACTACAATTCTGGAGATAAGGAGAATTCATTAGGTGAACTTCATTATTCCTGGCTCTCTGCCAGCATAATTTCCTGACTATAGTATAGAGCATTAAAATACAAGCAGAGTACAATGGTCCTGCTGAGCTGAGGTGGAAGGGACCAGAATTTGGAGCAGCTAAAATCACAAAATCTACAAACCAGGGCACTAGAAAGAAGGGAGCTAGAGAGATGGAGGGCCCTAAACTTCCCTGGTTAAGAGCTCGATAAAACACAAATTGGGCTCCACCTCCAGAGTTTCTGATTCAGTAGAGCTGGTTGAACCTGAAAGTGTGTATTTCTCTGTCAAGTTCCCAGGTGATACCAATGCCCCTTACCCAGGACTACATTTTGAAAAATCAATCTTGTTGACTGAAAGACTATGTAAGTTGAAAATAAAATAAACCTATATCTACCAAACCTTTCTCACTCATTCAAGATCACCAAAGATTTAAAATACAATGTCTGAGGATATAAGAAAAACGTGTACCTTGATGTTGATGGCTTCTCACTGATCAGGATGGTGGTTGCTAAAGGTTGGGGTGGCTGTGGCAATGTCTTAAAATAAGACAACAGTGAAGTTTGCCACATCAATTGGCTCTTCCTTTTATGAAAGATTAGTCTGTAGCATGCGATGCTCTTTCATAGCATTTTACCTACAGTAGAACTTTTTTCAAAATTGGCATCAAGCCTCTCAAACCCTGCTGCTGCTTTATCAACTCAGTTTATGGAATATTCTAACTCCTTTGTTGTCATTTCAACAATGTTCATAGCATCTTCACCAAGAGTAGTTTCCATCCCAAGAAACCACTTTCTGTGCACATCCTGAAGGAGGAGCTCCTCATCTGTTCAAGTTTTGCCATGAGAATGCAGCAATTCAGTCATATCTTCAGTCTCAACCTCTAGGTCTCTTCCTATTTCCATAGTATCTGCAGTTACTTCCTCCACTTAAGTCTCGAAAACCTCAGTCATCCATGAGAGCTGGAATCAACTTCTTCCAAACTCCTATTAATATTGATATTTTGACCTCTTCCCAAGAATCATGAATGTTCTAAATAGCACCCAGAATAGTGAATCCTTTCCAGGTTTTCAGTTTACTTTGTCCAGATCCATCAGAGAAATCACTATCAATGGCAACCTTACAAAATGTATTTCTTAAATAATATGACTTGAAAGCCAAAATTACTTCCTGATCCTTGGACTGCAGAATGGATATTGTGTTAGCAGGCATGAAAACAACATTAATCTCCTTGTATATCTCCGTGAGAGCTCTTGGGTGACTAGGTGCATTGTCAATGACCAGTAATATTTTGAAGGGAATCTCTTTTTCTGAGCAGGTTTCAATAGGCTTAAAATATTGAATAAACCATGCTATAAGCAGATGTGCTGTCATTCAGGCTTAGTTTTTCCATCTATAGAACACAGGCCCAACAGATTTAGCATAATTCTTAAGGGCCCGAGGATTTTCAGAATGGTAAATGAGCACTGGTTTCAACTTAAAGTCACTAGCTGCATTAGTTTCTAACAAGAGAGTCACCCTGTCCTTCGAAGCTTTGAAGCGAGGTATTACTTCTCCTCTCTAGCTATGAAAGTTCTAGATGGCACCTTCTTCCAATAGAAGGAGGTTTCATCTACACTGAAAATCTATTCTTTAGTGTCACCACCTTCATCAATTATCATAGCTAGATCTTTTGGACAACTTGCTGCAGCTTCTCTCCATCAGCACTTGCTGCTTCACCTTACACTTCTATGTTACGAAGATGGCTTGAAAGAAGCCTCATGAACCAACCTCTGCTAGCTTCCAACTTTTTTTGCAACTTCCTCATCTCTCCAGCCTTCACAGAACTGAAGGGAGAGAGAGGGCTTTGCTCTGGATTAGTCTTTCATTTAAGGGAATGTTATGGCTATTTCGAGCTATCCAGACTACTACAACTTTCTCCAAATTAGCAAGGCTGTTTGGCTTTCTTATCACTCATGAGTTCACTGCAGTAGCACTTTTAATTTCCTTCAAGAACTTTTTCTTTGTATTCATAACATGGCTGTTTGGTGCAAGAGGTCTAGCTTTGGGCCTATCTTGGCTTTCAATATATTTTGCTCCCTAAGTTTAATCATTTCTAGCTTTTGATTCAAAGTGAAAGATGTGTAAGTGTTCCTTTCACTGAAACATTTAGAGATGATTGTAGGGTTATTAATTTGTCTAATTTCAATATTGTTGTGACCCAGGGAATAGGGAAGCCCAAGAAGAGAAAGAGAGACAGTGAAACGGTTGGTTGGTGGAGCAGTCAGAACACACATACAACAGTTATCAATTAAGTTTGCCTTCATACATGGGCACAGTTCAATGCATCTAAAAACAGTTAAAATAGTAACATCAAAGAGCACTAATCACAGATCAAACAGATATAATAATGAGAAAGTATGAAATATGGTAAGAATTAGCAAAGTGAGCACATCCTATTGGAAAACTGGTATCAATAGACATGCTTGATGCAAGGTTGCTACAAACCTTCAATCTGTAAACACACAAAATAATGCAAAGTGTAGTAACATCAGGTATGCTTATAATTAACTTTACACTAAACCAATGACTCATATGATGATAAAACTTCTTAAGGCTTTGATGGCCTACCTGTAGGTCTTTCACATTTGGAAATGGAATTCCTATTGTTATGACAGCACGGGCATTATCATCTGAGAAATCCAGACCCTCACTCACTTTACCACGACAAACTGCTACCAGGAGGGCTCCATCTTAAGCAACATAAAGTAGACATTTTAAAAAGCATATTCAAAATCCTCAGAAATTGCTTCTTCTTGTCATTTTGAAAAGACCTGATTATTAAGTATAGTATCAATTTTTAAAATAATCAAGATAAAACACAATTATGAGATAAAGTTTTAAAAGTCTTTAAGTAAACAAGGGGAACAAAATTATATTTATATGCAATAGGGTAACAAACCAATTTATAAACTGTTCATCTCACAGATAACTTATATAGTAAAACCACATTAGAACAGCAACTTGGTTGCATATGGAATGAGCAATTATGAATAGTGTTACTTTATAAAATTTGAAATTTCAATCATTATCTTTAGCACCAGAAAGTAAAATTCTGAGAACAATTTAAATAACTCTAATTTGTAAAGTATATCATATTGAATCAATATATTGGAAAGTACTTAAAATACATATAGAATAGTAAATATATTCTTATCAGTTATATTATCTTTACTGTTGCATTGTTCATAAATTATTGTTATTATTAGTCCTTTACAATTCTTTTTTTTTTAATTTTTTGAGACAGAGTCTTGCTCTGTTGCCTGGGCTAGAGTGCCGTGCCATCAGCCTACCTCACAGCAACTTCAAACTCCTGGGCTCAAGCAATCCTTCTGCCTCAGCCTCCCGAGTAGCTGGGACTACAGGCATGCGCTACCATGCCCGGCTAATTTTTTCTGTATATTTTTAGTTAGCCAATTAATTTCTTTCTATTTTTCTTAGTAGAGATGAGGTCTCGCTCTTGCTCAGGCTGGTTTCAAACTCCTGACCTTGAGCGATCCACCCACCTCGGCCTCCCAGAGTGCTAGGATTACAGGCGTGAGCCACCATGCCAGGCCTACAAATTCTTTATAGACATTCTCTAACCTAGAAATTGAGTCTTTAGTTATGTTTTGAAAACTCCAGTTTACCTTATATAACAGAATATAAGCACACAGTATATTATTTGCATCAAAATGTAGGTCTCATTTGGCTAGAAGATATTTATATATATCCTAGGTGCCTTCTTGCACAAAATATTTCAGATAGTACAAGAAAGACTAGGATATTATATAAAGGCATGCTGTTCCTTACAGTTGAATCAGCACATTCAAGTGAAAATATTCATACAACGACAACTCCAAATAACAGAATTTCTTTATGTAATTTACATTTTCACCCAGGATTATGAAATGTAATTTTTCTTTTAAGTACAGTTCATTTAAAAAGATAGTAACAAATGAAGGCCGGGCGCTGTGGCTCACGCCTGTAATCCTAGCTCTTGGGAGGCCAAGGCGGGCGGATTGCTCAAGGTCAGGAGTTCAAAACCAGCCTGAGCAAGAGCGAGACCCCGTCTCTACTATAAACAGAAAGAAATTAATTGGCCAACTGATATAGATATAAAAAAAAATTAGCCGGGCATAGTGGCGCATGCCTGTAGTCCCAGCTACTCGGGAGGCTGAGACAGCAGGATTGCTTGAGCCCAGGAGTTTGAGGTTGCTGTGAGCTAGGCTGACGCCACGGCACTCACTCTAGCCTGGACAACAAAGTGAGACTCTGTCTCAAAAAAAAAAAAAAAAAAAAAAAGATAGTAACAAATGAAATTCTAACAGAACCAACTTCTTACTTTATAATAAAAAATATTTTTCACTGACCATGAAATAATTCCAATTACCTTTCTCTCCTTTATGCTGGATTGCATCATAGTATACCTGCAGTAATTCATCAAAATCAGTTTTCTCTCCTCCCTGTGGTTCTACAATGACTGTCTTCACCAACTCCAGATTATGCCATAAACCAGTGGAGAGCCAACGTTCTTTTAATTTTTCTAATAGCTAAAATGAGGAAAGAAAAAAATTAATTTTGTGTCCAGCTAAATGAACTTACCATTTTTGGTTTAAAGCCAACAATGTAACAAAGGCAAGCATATTAACCCCTTCTGTGTCTTTCCTCATCTATAAAATGAGGAAAACACTATCTCATAATAGAGTTGTTGTTAGATTTAGTAAGAAATTTGGAGAGGTTTGAATGGTGCTACACATAGTAAGAGCTCAATAAATATTAGCTATTGCTGCTGCTACCATTACTATTATCCCTAACAAACACTTCTGTTGCTGCTGATCCTGCCACTGCTGTTAGATCATTAAATATGAAATGTCCAATTTCGAATCAAAAGTCTATTATATCAAGAAGCAGTACAATTAATCAAAGCATGTGCCTAAATTATCAACACAGTTTCGTAATTTTAATGGCATCTTGTTTATGCCAGCAGTGAAGAACCCTGGAAAGAGAGTGGTGATGAAATTGTAAAAGGTATTTTCCACAATTTGTTGAGAATTGAATATTTTTCCTTGCAAAAAGTGGGCCAAAGCCTGGAAGAAGTGGTAGTCAGTTGGTGCAAGCACTGGTGAATTCAGTGGATGACAGAGAGTTTCCAAGTCAGGCTTCTGTAGTTTGAGCAGCCTTGTTTGTGTAACATGTGGTTAGGCATTGCCTCGCAAGAAGATTGGCCTATCTCTATTCAGCAATCTTGGCTGCTTAATCACAATCATCCTCATCATTTCTTACAATTGGTTGCAGACATCCGGTGTAACCAACTGACCAGGTTTCATGAAACTATAGTGGAAGATACCAGTGCTGGATCACCAAACAGACACTATTAGCTTTTTTTGATGAATATCTGGTTTTGGGTTGTGTTTTTGCACTTCAACTTTATCCAACCATTGTGCCAAATGTTTGTGATTGTCAAAAAGAATCCATTTTTCATCACACATAACAATACAGTATAGAAATGGTTCACCTTTCTGTCATGACAGCAAAGAAATGGAAGTTTGAGATAATTTCTCTTCTGATCCTCATGTGGAACCCACCTATCCAGCTTCTCTACCTTGCCGATTTGTTTCAAATGGTCACATATTATTGGAATAGTAATGTCAAACCTTATTGCTAATTTACACGTAGGCTGAGATGGATTTGCTTCCACTACAGATTTCATCTCATCATTATCCACCTTGGTCTCAGGTCACCCACGTGGCTTATTTTCAAAATTAAAATAATCAGATCAGAACAGAACTTCTCAAACCACTTATGTACTGTGTATTCATTAGCCACATCCTTCATGAACACTTTGTTGAAATTGAGCTGTCTGTGCTGCATTGGTTCCATGATGGAACACATATTCAAAAATAACACAAAATTTTGACTTATCCATGGTTTCACAAAAATTGCTCTAAAAAAAACCTGAAAGATAATCACAAGCCAAATCATGGATTTGAAAGACTGAGGATGGACCTTGACAGTAAGCATAAAACGAGAAGTGTCAAAGTGAAATGTGAGAGATATCAACCGTCAAACTTAGCCTAAAGGAAATTGGACATTTCATACTTAAAACCTACTACTACTACTACTATTATCTTGGCAATTTAAAAAGCAAAAATAAATAAATAAATAAATAAAAATGCCTTTGGTCAAAGTTAATACATTTTAAGTTTTCTCTTTAAACCTAAGGTGAAGTCATTTAATATACTTAACTAATGAGTCCTTAAATAAAGATTTAAGATCATTTGACTAAGTACATAGGCACATAGACCCATTGTTTGAAAATTTGATCATCATTAATAACCTAGATCAAATACACATATAAACAGAGACTCACCAACAAGTAGAAAATATCTAGGTACAAATGGAACATTTACAGAAATAACCATGGGCTAGATTACAAAAGAACTTTAAGAAACTTCAAACCTTTATCATATTGATCACATATCTAATAATTATACAATGTTAGATTAAAAGTCAATAATGCAAGTCTGAAAAAAATAAGTAAGCCTAACAACAAAACTTATATTATTAAAAAACATGAGTTAAACAGGAAAACACAGAATTTTTAAGAAATTTTTAGATGAATAAGAAAGGCACTCACAATTCAAAACATGTAGCATGAGACAATGACAATACTTAGAAATACACTTACAGCTTAAAATATATTTATTTTAAAATGTGAAAATAAAAGAATTAAGTATTCTTTATAAGAAGCTAGAAAGTGAAACATAGCAAATGCAAAGAAAGTAGAAGTTAATAATAAACAGCTGACTAAATGAAAAAGGCAAAAGCCAGAAGTAGAGATGATTTAAGTTGAACTGCTTATCCACTTGTTCTGTGTCATGAATTCTATGCAATATGAACCAGTTATAAGAAACCACTCAAAATTCTCTAGAGAACAGAAACTAATAAATTTTTACAAGACAGTTTATTTCCTCACAGTTTTACCTGTATCTATTTTTAGAAATAAATTTCTTAATATGTTCATAAAACAAAATTTACAGCACTAATTAGTAAAATTATATAAAATTGCTATTATATAGTGACTTCTAATCAATAAAAATGAAAATCTCCCAGAAGACCATGTTATTATGTAAAAATGCAGGGCTATCATTGATCTGAAAGTCTTTTCTGTTTTAAGTGCCTTTTCTGTTTTGAGTGTGTTTGGCTATCAGAATTTGCTTTTTGAACATGCACTATTTCTGAATCAAAATCTCTCACCAGAACATAGAAAAAACAAAAAAACAAAAACAAAACCACCTGCTGACAATATTCAGAGCAACAGCGTTTATGGGGAATCACAATGGTCTTCAACTGAAAGAAAAAGCTTGCGTAGAGTCAGTAATGTTCAGAATAATTTATTACATTTCTTAAACTCCTTTATTGAATAACCAGTTTAGAAAAGGATAAATATATCTCAAGAGGATATAAAACCAGATGATATATGTCATGAATTTGCATCACTGTTGATACTTAATGGATTTTAATACAATGACACACTGTTTTTCCTGTGATTTTTTGATCCTGAGATAGCAATTTCTAATACTGAAGGTTACGAATGTTCAAGATCTGGAGAAAAACCTCCCACACTACTTGAGTTAGACCATTATATGTTGATGACTCCAAAATATATTCCACAATTAGGTTAGAAGAAATCTATTTAAAATGAAAAGTATGAGGAACAAAGAATTTGTAAAATGTACAAAATTTCCCCTAAAGAAATTCAGCAGGGATTTTTCTCCAATTATTTAGAAAAGAATTCATAATATCAGAGTTAAATATGATTTAAAATTTTTGAGAGCAGGTATGATACATGCAATTATTTCCAATTTGTTATTGGAAACTGCCATGTGAAACAGTTTGGCAGTTCCTCAAAAATTTATTAATATACTAATTAATAAATTACTAATCTAAATTTACTAATCTAAGTTACTAATCTAAATTACTACTAATCTACTAATCTAAATTACTAATCTAAATCTAAATCTACTAATGATTTTTTGGTTTCTTATAACTTCAGAAATTTACACACAATGAAGTAGCCATAGATTCATACATAAATCTTGAATACTACAATAAAAAGACAGAATATATATTAATCTCATAAGAAAACTTTTATAACAAATACAAAATAAACTGTCATATAACATTAATGGGTCTTTAAAAAAACTTGTTTACAAAATAATATCGTTCAGCTCATTGACATATCTTAACTTTTTTTTTTTTTTTTTTGAGACAGAGTCTCACTTTGTTGCCCAGGCTAGAGTGAGTGCCATGGCGTCAGCCTAGCTCACAGCAACCTCAAACTCCTGGGCTCAAGCAATCCTCCTGCCTCAGCCTCCCAAGTAGCTGGGACTACAGGCATGTGCCACCATGCCCGGCTAATTTTTTCTATATATGTATTAGTTGGCCAATTAATTTCTTTCTATTTATAGTAGAGACGGGGTCTCACTCTTGGTCAGGCTGGTTTCGAACTCCTGACCTGGAGCAATCCGCCCGCCTCGGCCTCCCAGAGTGCTAGGATTACAGGCGTGAGCCACCGCGCCCGGCCTGAACTAACTTTTGACTCAAAAGTTAGTTGATTCTGTTCCATCTTTTAAAAATAATGTCAGCATATGATAATTATACATAACATTATAATTCACCAGGGAATAGGAGAGAACAAAAAGGGGAACACTAACACACCCCAAAAGCAGGCTACATTTTTGTTCGTATTAGAGCTTTAAAATTTTATTATTAATGCAAATTTTATAACTTGGACTAATTTTTTTCCTTACATAGGAATAATTCAAATTTGCTTTAATTAAACAGGAAGAACTATTTCAATTCTCTAAACACAACTAAGAAGTTACAGAACTACATTTATTTTCTAGAAAAAGACAGCAAGAGAAAAAGAGGCATAAAAAACTACCAATAGACAGAAAACAATGATCAAAATGGCTATAGTATGTCCTTCCCTATTGGTCATTATTTTAAATGTAAATGGATTAAATTCTCTCCAATCAAAAGACATAAAGTGGCTGGATAAATAAAAGCGTCATTCAACTATATGCTATCTCCAAGTGACTCACTTTAGATTTAAGGATGCACATAGGCTGAAAGTGAAAGGATGAAAAATATATTTCTTATAAATAGTAACAAAAAGACAATAGTGTGGCAATACTTATATCAGACTAATTAGGCTTTAAGTAAAAAACTGTCAAAAGAGACCAAAAAAAGACATTGTATAATGATAAATAGGTCAATTCACCAAAAACACTTAATTATATATGCACTCAATATCAGAGTACCCAAATATATGAAACAAATATTAACAGTACTGAAGGGAGAAATAAATAGCAACACAATAACAGTAGGAGATTCAAATACCCTACTTTCAGCAATGAATAAAACATCCAGACAGATGATCAATAAGGAAACAGAGAACTTGAATAATACTAGACACCAGACAGACCCAACAGACATATATAAAACATTTCACCCAAAAGCAGCAGAATACACAATGTCACATTCC